GACGACGACGAATAAAATAAAATAATGACTGAATACAAACTGGTCGTCGTCGGTGGTAAGTAGTTGTTGCACTACCCACGAACTTAGAGTGATTGTGTGTGAGCAAATCCTAAGCCAACGCCAATCTCCAAAAACCCCGTCATAGTGTAGGTATCTTGTACGGGCCAATGTACCTGGCGTCTATCGAAATTGCACGACTTGTTCTGCGTAGATGGCCATCTTTTAGCGTTTGTTGACTCTTGACGAATGCTGTTATTGGCTGTAAGTCGGTGGTATTATGCTTTTTACTCTTGATGATTTCAATTGAAGCTTCTTTCCTTTCTGATATCTATAAACCAACAATCACCCCTTACAATTTGACCAGGACACTCGATTTAATTCACTCACATATTACCCAAACTATCTAGACCATTAAACACTAATCTTGTATGAGCTTTTAAGGTCTTGTAGATCTGTAGATCAACTCCCTGAATGTTATCTCTTAACATTGTTTAGAATAAAATTTGAAACATTTATATCTTTGGTTTTCTTTCGGTTTAAAGTTTTTTTACAATACTTATTGTGCATCCTATTGTTTTATCAATTTTACAAAATACATTTACACTGCATAAAATTAAGAGTAATTTTTTGATTTAGGTCAGTATTAAAATATAATTATTCATTTGAAACTATTCTTCACATTAAAAACTTCATCATCATTTACCTATATCTTAATGTTTACTTTGTCTACTACTATTATTTATTGGTTGTAGTCATTGGCTAGATTTATTACTTTTGATTATTATTCAAAGGTGTAAGAATGTTTGTGTATGTGAAATAATTTATAATCTCTATTTCATTTATGAATAGTTATATACTAATAACAGAAACTTCATAAAAACATATATATTAGTCAGTTTCATAACCTATGTATACAGTTGTCTGTATATCTGCCAACAAGTTGTATATTTTACAAAAATATTAAATTGCAAAAATTATTACCTATGCTTTAAGTAGCTTTATATATATATTATTATGTTTTATTATAAATTATTCTTAATGCATTAAATTATGTTCTGTTTTCAGCTGGCGGCGTTGGTAAAAGTGCCTTAACAATACAGTTAATACAGAACCAGTATGTTTTTTTTTTTTTTTTAGTTACCATAATTTAAAAATCTTACTATTCTTTTAGTTAAAAGTCAACTTATAAGTTAATTTTTATTTTTCAGCTTTGTGGACGAGTATGATCCAACGATTGGTTAGTTTTATATTAGTTTTTATTTTATTTAGGGAAACCTAAGTAGGTAATTATTTTGTTGACCATTTTTTAGATAGTACATCTTACTTTAATACTTTATGAAGAATTAGAATTAAAATCTATATTAATGATTTTGCTGTTTATTTTCAGAGGATTCTTATCGTAAACAAGTAGTAATTGATGGAGAAACGTGTCTTCTTGATATTTTAGACACGGCGGGTCAAGAAGAATATAGGTAAGTTATTATTTTATGTAATTTGTGAATTCAAGAAGTTAATAATGTATATTTTTTTTTAGTGCTATGCGAGATCAATATATGAGAACCGGTGAAGGTTTTCTTCTTGTATTTGCTATTAATAATACCAAATCATTTGAAGATATCAGTAATTACAGGGAACAGATAAAACGAGTAAAAGATGCAGAGGATGTCCCAATGGTTTGTAAGTATCAAAGTCATCATTCTTTGAACTCTTATCATGTTGTAAATTATTAATGCTTTTGGAATTATATTCATTTATCACAATATTCAGATTTTAAACATACTTAAAGTTTTTTTTTTTTTTTTATTGGTACAGCATCAGCAACTCAGGTTATTAGCTTTAACTTAAAGTATTATCTATTCAGATATTTAAATTCTGATAAATTATAAATTGTGTTTTAAATGTGGATTTTTTAATTATCTTCATTCAATCTACTTTGATTTTCAGTGGTAGGCAATAAGTGTGATCTACAAAGTAGAGCGATAGATGTTAAAGCAGCATCTGATTTAGCTAAACAATATGGTGTACCATTTATTGAGACATCAGCTAAAACGAGACAAGGTGTTGATGAAGCGTTTTACACTTTGGTTAGAGAAATTAGGAAAGATGTAAGTTGTTATTTACTAGTGTATATGTATAAGTATTATAATTATTTATTAATCTTATAGAAAGAACAAAGGTTGCGAGAAAAACGTAAAGCAAAACCAAGAAGGAAACGCAAGCACTGTTACCTCTTTTGAATATAAGTGAAACAAATGGAATTTTTTTATTTAAATTAAAAAAGGACCGAACAAGAGTGTCCTCGTTGTATTTTAATTAATGTTAACACACTTTAGGCTCAGGAAAGTGTGTTTTCATCATTTATAATATTGTTCAGTTAAAAGCATGTATTGAATATATTTATTTGAATGATAAACAAAAAAACATAATAACTTTCGGAACCCCGATCAATAGAAATTTATGTTCAAAGAAAGAACATTATACAGAGGACCCCTTTAACAAGCTGACATCTTGTTTTGAGATCCGATTTTAATATTGCTATTTTTATCGTCTTATTATTAATAAAAATTTAAAAAATATATATTTTTAGTGTTATTCGATTATCTAAAATATTTTCCTGCCCCATTTATTTTTCTCAAAATCGTGCTTCCAGTATTCATAGGAGCTATTGATTTGTGCATAGGCTTTACTACAATTTATTATTATTATTTTCTTAGTAAATAGGTACGTGATTGTATTGTTTAAGAGAACGCTAGAAAGGCATTCGTTGTCTAGCTTAAAAGTGTGTAACATATCATATTTACTCTCAGCGGATCACGTTTAGATTCATTAATTTTAAAAATTAGTGTGTTTGGCTTATGAAACTTGTTGGTAAGAACATTATCTGTGTTTGTATGTGGGTTGTTTACAAAAGTTCAATTTTTTTTCACAATTTTTGTTTATGTAATATTCCATGAATTAAAAATGCTTATAACTCATTCAAAAGCTGAATAATCATAAAAACCTCACTCACAGACCATGTTTTTACCATTAAGTTTCATGATAGGTCGATTCACTCAAATTTTTAAACTAACCAGGCTAAATGTGATCTGCTGAGAGTAAATTTGCTATGTTACACACTTGTAAGACAGAGACACAAATGCCTGTGTAGTGTCCTCTCGAGAGGACACCTACCCGCATTTTCTTTGTCTTACAAACGCATACTATAGAAAATTGAAGCTCTAGATAATTTGTTTAAGTGGACGCTATATCTGTGTTGTCTCCGTCTTACAAATGTACATTGTAACAAAATCTGCTGTACGCTTGATAGACTCACTCAGGCTGTAGTGATAGTTAAGATTCCAAATTAATATACATCATAATTGAGAACATTGAGCATAATCTGTGAAATATTGTTTTTTTAATTTTATTTTTGATATCACTAATACGAAAAAAGTTTTTATAGTTTAAAAATCCATTATTGTATTTTTTAAATTTGAATAACTTTTTTGTAGTTCTGCTATCGAAAAAATAAAAACTATATATAACAGCCAAAATTCTTTTTTATGTGGTGAAAAATAACATTTCTTGGTTATGATTGTAGCATTCTCTGTTCTTTCCCTCTCAATACAGTTTTTGCTATGTTCTACATTTGTAAGACTGAGACAACACATTTGGATGTCGCGTCCTCTTAAGAGGAGATCAGCGCAATATTTGTTTTTCTCTCAAGGTATGGTTTCCAAGGCACAGCCAGTCGGTGCGTCTTGCCTCAGGGACGTGCCACAACGACTGCTCTGTTATGGAACAGTATTATGGTCCCTACCACCAACGACTATACTAGTTCTCAAGCAGTATTTGCTGCAGCTGGTTTCAGTGATTGGCCATCGCGACTCATGTGTGATGTAGACAAAATGCATTTACATTATAAAAATTATAAATGATATTTTTGAGGGTACCAATGACATCGGTTTTTAATTTTATTATTATTTGACTTAATATGAAACATAAAAAATTAATGTTGTAAATTTAAATGGATATTAAATTGTTTTGAGACAATATTTAGACAAATTGATGCATTGTAATTGTTGATTTTACTCCTAAGATCATTCAAAACCATAAAAAAAATGATTTTGTGTATGCATTTTGTCCATGTTGCGTGTGGGGGAGAGAAAAAAAGCAAACGGGGTGCTGACTTCCTCTTAACTATTAAGATTAATTTTAGAGTGAATTGACCTATTATTAAATTTAGTAGTAAGATTATTATCTTATGAATAATAGGTTTTTTTATACTACAATTTTAAAGTGAGTTATGATGTTGTAAATTGTTTGTACACTGTAAAATCTTCATTGCTCATTCAAAAGTAAAATATAAAAAAAATTACCCTTTGATATTCACCAGATAATATTTTTACTTTTAAATTTGGTGACAGGTTAATTCACTCAAAAATTAAACATAACTGTGTTTAATTAATTATTAAGATCATACTAATTGCTATGTTATGTGTTTGTAAGACAGATAATGCATGCAGGTACGGTGTCCTCTTAACATCAATAAACAATATTGTTGATCATATCTTTTGAACGGTTAACTGGTTTAACTACTTTATTTTCTTTTTCTTTTTACTTAAATTATAGTATAAAATCAACGAAATGCAATACTTTAATTATTTCTAGTTAGAATGTATATCATTTTTTTAAATTACAAATACATTTGGTCAATATACAACTATGTTATAATTCCTGTTCAAATTATTTTTACTTATTTTTTAGAAGATTTCTATTTCCACTCTGCCTTGTGATCAGAAGTAGCATATGTATATTTTATTGATAATTGTTTTTTTTTCATATATATTATATATAATAAAATATATGTTTGACCTGATCAGAAGGTGCAGATGACTTACAGGGATTATAAGTAGGACATCCGTGCCAAAACTATACTCACTATTCAAGTATTTATTTCTTAAGTCTTATTTTTTATACACGCCTAATATTAAAATATTCATTATGATTGTAGTTGTTTCAATTTTATTATTATTTATTATTATTATTTTTTTTTTTTAACGATAATTTTTTTTTAGTTAAATTGTTTAAAATACAGGACTAATACTTAGTGAAAGAGACCTCTGGCCTTTGGGGATAATTTTATTATTGCAAAAGAACAAAACAAACAAGTACTATAATTAAGTTTACTATTTCAACAAAGGCCTCATTGGACATTTATAATACTCATAATTTGACTACATTATATATATTGTAATTTAACGAGCTTTTCATGTTGAAGTTCATGTTCAATCAAGATGTTAAAAAAATCATTTTTTTATTAGTATTTTTATTTAATTTTTTTAATTTTTGTGATCATTATATTAGGATACAATCAGCATGTTATTACCAAAACTTATTATAATATAATGCTATCTGATAATATATTTAAAAAAATGTGATTTTTGATTCCTTTAAAATGTGTGATTAATGAATTAATATCTTATATAACCTTGGTTTCTAATTTATTACTGCATTTATATGAAGCTATTAAATTCGTTCATACATATCTTGGAACAAATTTTAATGAATTTTTTGTTTAAATGTTAATACCTGAACACCCAAAATATTTTAATTTTTATGTTATACATATGCCTTATTTGACTATCACAATTTAGTTTAAACTGTTTATTTAATGCGAGCTTATGACAATTGATGGTAATAACTGATAACTATTAGAACTAAACTATTCTTTACAATGTTTTAATGGCTTCATATGAATAAATATAGTATATAATATTATGAAAAATGTAAGTTATTTCCAAGTTACAATTGAAAATGCATGTAGGTAACAAACTAATTAAACACAATGTTTGAAATCAATAGATTATGTTAAAGACATAAATTCTTACACTTGAGTTCTAATAAATAATTATACATTGCCCATAATATGAGCAAGTAGAGCAAAGAACTGACATAAATGATGTACACAAATACTATACAGATTATTATCAGATAATAATTTTCTACCGATTTAAACATTAAATAATTTATAGCTTGATGGCATTCAAAGATTTTTCTAAGCGTTTCAGGTAATAAAACTGTGTTTTGTTTTTCAGTTTGAAATAAAGTTTTGAAGGCTATTTATTAAGAAGCAAAAGTTCTGGCAATTTCTAGTCATGTTACGCATAGACCATACATAAATTTAAATCAAACCATTTCAATGACCAGAAATTACTAAAGGAAAAACAACCATTCCTCATTGAATAGTTAGATTTTGGTACTTATTTTCTTGAAAGAGAAAACGCTATAATTTTTTTTCAGGTCACACTGGACTTACCTGGATTTTAAATAACACCAGGAAAATAGATTTCAAAAGTAAGTGAATATTTAGATGATTATTACAACTTTTGAAAATAGAGTTTTTTAAATCTGATTATTTCAAGGGGCATACACTTTTTCTTGTTTTGGAAGTTGTATAAAATACACATCTGCTCCAGATTTGTGTATATTTTTTTTATAGTCTTTAATATTAAAATAATCAGGCGTGTACACAAAGGGAGACTAGAGATTCAACCCCCTCCCCCAAAAAAAAAAAAAAATGTCAGAAGAATTATTAAATATTTTTATAGAGTAAAAGTGGAAACATATAAAACCTAAAACGGCTAAGCCCTTCTACCCCTAAATAATAAGTTTTTTGTACACCTGAAAATAACAATAGTTTTAAAAATATGGAATTTATTTAACTCAAGTAATTTAACTAACAATTTTATTTTATCAATAAGAGGGGTAACATAGTATAGTATATTTGATATCATGACAGTAATTATTTATACATTTGTAGTACTATTACTAATATGTATTATGTACATTATTTTATAAACATTTGAAAATTCTTAATTGATGAGGAATAAAAATCACTTTAGCACAATAATGGTTTAAGTATATGTATTGATGGCTATAATTCTTCCCTTTCAAGTTCTCTTAGATATTTAGTGTCTTGTATCACACATACTGAAGGTAATTCAAATTCCATTAAGTATTCACATCGGTTAAGCTCTGATACTGATATAAGTTTAGGTTCTAAGCCACAACTCAAGTGAACCTGTTTTGAAAATGACAATTTGACATCAATACCAATAATAATACAATTGTAATTATCTGATGTATTGATGTAATATGTGTTAATAATATTTATACACAATAATACCAAGAACAATTATTAATGCTAGAGTTCCGAACAGGTGACAAAGACTTACATAAGCAAACCTTTGATAATGATTCAAACAGTATTGTCCTCTATCATAAAGCATAGTATGATATTGAGGTTCATCATTGATAAAGTTTGTCCAATCTTTCCAGACACCCAAGTTTACTTCAGGTCCTCCCTTTATTGGCCTTTGAGTTATCTATAGCAAATACACACAGTAACATCCATTTAATACTATTTCCAACAATTTAATTTACATTTAAAATAAATACTTTGTCTCACCTTTTCAAATAGACATAATTTATATATGTATTCATCATTAGTTAGTTCATAGCACTGTCCATCTAAAGCAGCAAATTCGTCATCAGGACCAAAATTTTTACTTATTGATTTTTGTAATGCATATAGTTGTTTTTGAAGGTCTTTAACTGTTCTGTCCGCTTCTTCGAATCGTTCATGAGCTTTTTTTGATTCTGAAATAACAATCAATAGTAAATGTGTATAACATGTATCACAAAAATTACATATTCATCTATAGTAGACATGATAAACGCACTACATTTTTCTTTGGACATGTGCAGGACAATTTTAAAATTAAGTAAAAAAAAAAGAATTGCTTTAGTGGTATTTCATTCAATATTTTTAGCCTAATTGAAATTTAATGATTTACATACTTGACCTACAGTCTACACTGACTACACTATAGGTACCATAATTCTTAATTATACCTACATCATTTTTATGAAACACAATATATTTTTCATAATTTATTTCATTATTTGTTTTATAGAATAATTTTCACAAATATTTTAGTCATCTAAAGTCAAAATTATTTACGTCGTTAATTTTTAATCTAGGTCTAGTCTACATTATGCTCCTAATGAGTAATGACAGAGATTGGTTGATGCTCTAGCAATGGCCTAGATTATACATTTTATAATTCTCAATTCATTATCTGATTTTGGATTGATAAAGAATATAAAAAATTATTTAGAAATTGTACAGGTATAATAAATTACCATCAATTATGATTTTGGTTTTTTCAGTATATAATAATTTATTAATTCTTACAGCTTCAATATCTTCAATATTATATTTTTCAATTTCATTATTGGAATTATGATTAAAATCTTGATTTAGGATTTCTTTTTTGACGTTTTTAACTAAATGTTGTTTTTCGTCAAAAGATTTTGTAAAAATTAACAGGTTTACACGATTCCAGCCATTTGACAAAAAATCTTTTAGATCAAATTCCTTTTTATTTTCCATAAAGTACTAAATAAATGCAATAAATATTTAAAATTAAGAAAAGAGCATATGTTCAATAACTAAATGAATAAAATACTAGGTGTATTTTGCTTTAATTTATATGTTAATAATTTAATTTATGTAGGTATTTAACTTACATAAATTTCATCTTGTGAAACCAAGCCATCTTGGTTTTGATCAAAAATACTATAAGCAATTACTTCTTCCACTTCAATTCTAAATACAATTTTTTCATCTTTATTTTTAGTACACATAATTTAGTAATTTAATATTAAATTAATTGTACTTATTGTTTTTGTTAATATCAATTTCATTAAATATTTTGATTGCTTTATTTTGTTGATTTGATTTTTCCTCCTCTATTGCTTTTTCTTCTTTTTCTTTAGCTATTTCTTTGTCATTAAACATACTACTTCTATTAAACTGAGCTTCTTTTGTTTTGGTTAAGAGGTAGGGAATCCTATTCTAAAGAACAAAAATTGAAAATATTAAAAAATAACTTGTTCTATATTTGTAATGCTATGATAGAATTGTTACATACAATTTTTCTAAAAAAACGGTTAATTTACAAAACTTTGTAAATTTTGGTTATTTTCAATAAAATAATCAATCACAAATATTTGATAATTAGTTCTAATATATAATTATCTATTCTTATCAGAAAAAACACCTAGATTTTCACTTAACTGCTGATCTTAATTATAATGCATACATTTTGTCTATTAGTCCATAGTTTTAAGGTGTTTGAGTTGTTATTTTTTTTAAACAGAAATCATCTGAGTTAGTTCGAGAAGAACAACGATCACGGCAACATGGCTCATATTGTTGACCATTTAATGCACCTACCTCATGAATCTTTCAACAAGCTTCTAGCCCAATGTATGATTACTGCTATATAATTAAATTTTATTAAAACCTCTATATATTAACTTATTCTGTACTTTTGGCCTCTATCCATTATTAATTAATATAATTAAACTTAAATGTGGTAGAATATTTATTAATCCATTTTTAATCACAACACTCTTTAATACATAAATCATCATTTGATGAAAATGTAACTTCTTTTGTATATGTTCCTGGTTCAGTGTAGTAATAATTGTATGTCGTTTGATGATCTATTGGTTTTTTTGTTGTTTGGCAATCGTAATTAGTCTTAATATTTGAATTATTTGAATTTCTGATCCAATTTTTATAATTTATATTATTTGTTGTCATTGTTTCCATTTTTTTTGTTGGGGTAATGTAAGTACTTTTAGGTTTGTAAATGTCAATATTCCTTTTTTCCATTTTAGAATCCTTATAAGATGTTTGATAAACTGTAGATTGAATATCAGTTGGGATATTTGACTTAAAAACACTGCAAGGTTTTTCATAGTGTTTACCTATTTATTTAAATTTTAATATTTTAGTTTATTGTTGTACCTAAATAAATATTATATTAAACTATATTATGAACTCTTTACTTTGAGGAGTAATGTTTTTTCTTTGAAAATCAAATTGTTTAGTAGTATTTAAGTTTATAGCACCACGTCCAATCAAATCAGAACAGTCTCTTGGTTTTTTAATATCCAACTCATCTGAAATCCTCCATTTTTTGTAACTGGATTGTTGAATAGTTTCTGATGGATATTGAAAACCAAACTTTAAACTATCTTCTACGCAGTTACTTTTTGAAGATGAATTTATCTTTATAAATTCATTAATGGGGTAATTCTTATAAGATAATTTTTGTTCAGTTTTATACTGCATAGGAATATCTGGACGAATATAAGTTCCATGTTTTGCATATGATTTACCTCTTGGTGGTTGTACATAAACATTATGGTGAATACAAATTTGATTTTTACAATCGCATTTGTTCATGTTGTATAAAAAAAAAAAATGTTCATATACAGATAAATTAAAAATTAAAATCAGTTGCTAAGTAATTTGTATATTTAAATAATTATAGTTTGTAGGTACCTATACCAACATGTAACTTATAATCTATAAGGTTCTTTTGTTTAGATAATAGGGGCCAAGGGGACTATATATTATGTTTTACACTTTTAAATGAGATTGGCTCATTCCTATCTTAAATAAATAAATTCAGTAGTAAAATACTCATTTTGTTCTGTTTTTGGTAATTTATTCAGCTTTATTCCAGTTTTTGTTGAATATAATACCTAATCAAATAGTAGTAAATGTAACAAGGTAAATATTAAAACAAATTGTATAGGTATAAATTTGATATTTATAATAATAATGTTGTTTGATATTTTGATAGGTTGGTGACATGAGTTATAACAGACTATTATACGAGTTTATATTTACTGTTTTATTATTATTGAAATGTGCATGGGTAGGACTATGAGATTATATTTGTTCCAATGTATATATAATATACATCAAATTGTCTTACCTGTTTCTGTAATAAAAGATATTTGCCTTTATTAATAAGCTGTGCTCTTATTTTAAATCCAAGAGCATATAAACTATTTTTTCTATTTGCTTCACTTCTAGCTTCATAGCTAAGATATTCACATGTGTTTTGACAAGCATGTTTTTGGACATTATTAGCCCACTCATCAGACCCATCACAACAATCTGTTTAAAATGTAATGTTCATAATAATGATTAACTAATTTTGAATGATTCTTGATAGATGTTACAATAAATAAAATTGAAAAAGTAAATAATATACTAAACTTGTTTAAATTAAAAGAATACTTGTACTTAGATTGTAGTTGCCTTTTGCCTACAATTGTGTTAAGTATTATTACGTCTCTGGATTAAAAAGCTTCTATTAGTTAATTTTGTATAATATATAATGAAATTCGCATTCCAAATTCCTTTACCACCCACATTTTTTTAAGATAAATACTTAATTATTATTTAATTCAATTTAAAATACTAGAAATAGGATCACAAGCATGAGCCACAGACCTGAATTTTGGGGGATGACTACAATATTTTTAGGCCCTCTCTTAACAAGACATGTCAACAATATGTATGAAGTTATATTATATTCCCTTAGATTTAATATCTATTTCTAAGATAATTGCAATGCTCATTTATTATTTGTACTTTTGTAGTCAATGGCATCTAAAGCTGTAACAATCATAACAAGTTATTCCACAAAATTAAAAATTCTTTACGTTTCATTTTTTTATCACGAAACATGATTTATTTTTTACTTTTTCTTTAGAAAAAAATACATTTTATTCAAGTAACATCAGTTAAAATACAGCCCTCCCCCCGCTCTGGGACTAATTACATTTTAGGGAGCCAATTCCAAAATGTCGGAGGGTGCCCACACACCAGGTAACCCCCCCTCCCCAAGCACACTCCTGTGAATAAGGTAACTAATGCTATTTATTTTTTTAGGTATTTATAATTTATGAAATATTAATATACCTATAAACACAACTCTAACTATAAGAAAAAAATTATTATCTTGCATATAATATAGTTAAAAGATACCTATTGACTATTATAAAAATATTATATATTTTTATTAAGTACCTAAATATACAATTTTGAAGAATTAAAGTCAGAGATTATATTTTGCATATAATGTATATAGTATAATATTATACTTAAGTGTTATAGGTACCACAAATTCCATCATTCACACGTGATGACGGCACAACAAGAGGAAAATGTCCTCTATTTGTACAGTAAAATGTGCCATTTGGACATGCCGAGGTACCTGGTTCATCACTTGCATCAATACAATCACAATAATCATCATTAATATATGAATAAGGAATAGTTAAAGTGCCATCCAAACAAGAGAAGTCCTGGCCATGGGCATATAGTTTGGCACCTACAACACAATACCAATATGATCATGAAAAAAATGATGAATAAGCATGGTCATATTTCTGTTATGATAACGGAATAAATTAATATTTACTGTTTTAATTTTTTTAATTACTTATCTATTATGGATTATACTCAATAAACTTTGACAATTACAATTTCTATGAAATACATTAATAGTTATGTATTAATTAATTTGATATTTAATTTAATTTATATATATATATATATATATATATAAATATAGTCGTCTGTGGATAGAAAGAGTTGACTGAATGAAATTTGGCATTAAATACCTCTACACCCAGATTAAAACCATACCAACTACAAACTATCTAGAAGACATTGAACACCAACCAGACAACAAATAAAGAACATATTTATCTTTATTTTACATTATTTGTTATATTTTTATTTCCCCATTATAAAAACTATAAATACATATGTTGACATAATTAATTATACAAATAAATAAAGAATGCAATGCATTATCCAAAACTGTGTAGGGGGGCGTAGGCATTACATTTTTGTCGACACTGTAAATAATAAAAGAACCTTTTTGTTCTTAGAAAATAACGACAAAGGTACTTACAATAGCTGTCGAAAATATTGTAAGCACCACATAAATTATAGCGTCACATTTCATAAATTTAATAATTGATTTATAAAATGTATAATTTATTATAAATTTATAATCTTACTATTTGCCCAATAAGTACCAATTATGATACATTCAACATTGTATAGAATGCCTAAACTGGCAAAACTTACTTTCTATTGGGATCCCTTTTATGATTTCAAAGTTCCCAACAGAACAATTCGTCAAAACTATTGAATGAAGTATAAGATTAATTATCATAAGAATATCTAAATAGTATGATTCCATTTTGATATGATTTCATTCAATGATTCAAAATCTCAGAATCATTGATTATTATTACGTCTTTGAAGTTTGAAGATGAAGTTGTTGCAGCAGCTCCACCCACGTAGATACTAGATTTGGCACTTATCAGTTATCACGTCGTGACACATTCTGATAAACATAATCTATGAACAGTATGAACATCCGAGGAAGGATGCCGGTCGGTTCGAAAATAATAATTTGGTCTGAATTTAACGTATCCACCAGAATGCGCTCCGTACAGTAATGATGTAGTTTTACTAAGCACCTATATTTTAGACAAGTTGGTTTTTTATTATTATAAATTAAAATCTCCAGTAAAAACTGATAGAATATTTGAATGGATGACATATTGAGGACATAGACGTATTCTATGGTATTACCCAAGACATACATGACGTCTAGAATAATTTATACCACAAAACAAAATAATTATAATTCGTAATACCTATAAATACCTAGCCACCTAGGTAGGTAGGTTGTAACTTGTAGGCATCTATATTAAACTATATTACCTATATAATGTAGGTACCTAATATGTCTGATTAACTACCTCACAAGTATAAATAACTATATCAGTCATAGGTCTTCATCACGATTTACGAAGTTCTTACTTCTCATACAGCTAATATCAGAGTTATAAATTATAATTTATATTATTGGATACCTAGGTAGGTTATTTACTAGCAACTCATACCTATTATTGTAAAACTAATCACTCAACCCACAATCTAAATTAAAATAATAAATACCACTGTAAAACCAATAGGTATGTACATAGCTTGCCCATCAGAATCAAAAAAACTCCGATTTTACAGTTACCTCCCAGGTCCGGACTGGGCAGGCGGGATACCGGGTGGGCCGCTTGTATTCGTAGGGATGTTTTTTTTTCAGGTTTATCGGTTAAGGCTCATCCTGTCGACAGACGTAGACGCATTTTCTAATGCAATCGTATTAAAAAACAGTTCACTCGTGGCAGCTCATGACTGACGGACATGGGTGTGCAACACAATTGAAAATATTAAGTAAATTCCTTAAAATAGACATAAAAAATGTATAAATTGTCAAAAATAGATGCTTGTGTCTTATTATTATCTTCGTTAAACAGTAATCGCTACCTAATCGTAACGCATGTCGGCACCGCCTAAGATGTGCAACAATTTACTATCATTACACGAACTTCCCCCTTATCCGGTGCCGCCAAAATCATAATTGACACAATTCCGCAAAAAAGCTCAAACCTCAACAAATTACTTAATATGTATTAATGTGTATTATAGAGTCTAAACATATATTGTATTTTAAATAAAAATGATAAAATGTCTTTGTACTGACTAATTTTTATTTTTTTTAATTTTTAATAATAATATTAAGTGTTCAAATTCTCAAAATAATAACAATCATTTTATACGAAAATATTTGTTGTTTTTTTTTTTTGGTTGTTTTTATAGGTATTTTTATAAGTGGGCAGATTATTTTTATTTTCCCGGTGGAAATGTTTGACCCAGTCCGGACCTGGGTAGGTATCTGTAAAATCGGAGAGTTTTTTTGATTTGGATGGGCGAGCGATGGATGTACCTATTGGTTTTACAGCGGTATTTATTGTTTTAATTTAGATTTTGGGCTGAGTGATTGGTTTTTCAATTATAGGTATTAGTTGCTATTTATTTGTATCTATCATCAACTTTTGAAACAGCAAAAGTTCTTCAATCTTCAACTTTGATGATGGTTTTTGGTGGTGGTAAATTTAAACTAGTTTTTACAACAAGAGGACGTCATACCCACATAATGTGTTGTCCCCGTCGAACAATTTGTTTCATTCTGCAAAGTGCAAATATTAGAGTGAATTTATCTGTACATTTAACGGTTAGATTATTATAATTATTACTAGGGTCTTAATCTTAAATTATTTATTTTTATATTTATTTTCAAAATATATATTTTTGTTTGTTGTACGCAGGGGGGGTTTACATTAAAAAAAAAAAAAAAAACTAGTAGTGGTCGGCCCCCCCCCCCCCGAAATGAATGGATGATTAATTTAAAACGTAATAGTTATTTTATCTTATAATAAATAATTATTTTAAAATAATGGTAATTATTCTTATTCTTTTAACCCCCCCGAAATTTTTTCCTGCGTCCGCCCCTGTTATTAATTAAGATGTTATTCGTTAGGTGCTGTTACAATAGTTCTACATACATTATATATAGTAATACATAAAATATATAAATTCTAAAGTAAGAAATCAGTAATAGAAACTTAAGTAGTACCTAACCAATAAATAATATTTTAATTGTATAGTAATTACTAATTAGTAGGTATATAGAGATAGACGTATAGTAAATATTAACTATAATAGTAATCAGCTCATTCAATATAAAGTCTTTAAGTCATAAATCACATTAGTCAATTTAATTTATCTATGGAGAATGGACAATCAAATTTCAACAGAAGCTTAAGAGTATTTTTGCTGTATGATTTTTAAATAATTAATATAATGATATGTTTAATAATTAAATTAATTTTAGATTCTAAGTGGAGCGTTGAATGTATTGATTTTACAATGATGTAAAGAGTATGATAATATAAACATTTGGTGAACTTTTCAAGTACCTGAATACCTAAGGTTATTTGCTTTTAATTTATACCATAGGCGCAAATCCCCCAAAAATATTAGGGGGATTTAAGCACCAAAAATGTTTGAGGAAACAGACTAAATTCGTGAGGGGTTATAGACACATAATACATACATTTCTGTTTTCAGATTCCGAAGTATAATATAGAAACAACTGAAATACTCTAAAACCAGTTTTCGACAAAATCGAAAAATAATAATTGTTCAGACTTAAATTTTTCACCAAATTTATATAGGTTTACTATCATATTTTATTAGAACCTTAAATAGTATATATTATTGAGTAGCAAAAACGGGAAGTGAGCTATTTCAGTTGCGCACAGATAATTTTACCACGCCTGTACCGGAAGTTAAGTTTTCAATGACAGTTGAAGCGTTGGAGAGAGACGATTTTCCTTCCAGCTAGTGAAATCCCCATAGTGCTGGGTGGTAAATACTAAATAGTGCTAGACTTGGAAAAATAAAAGTAAGAGGACTCTGTTTAATTTTAAAAAAAAAGTGTCTTCATCACTTTTTAAACGTTATTAAGGAGGGGGGGCTATGCCTAAACCTGCAGAAAAATTTAGGGTTCCGTGAGTTCCCCTTAAAAATAATAGTAGGCGTATGCTAAAATTTCTGAAAAATTAGTTGGTGTTCTCCGTCCCCTTGCGTTCACCCACAAGTCGAGCACTGACGGTAAACTGGTAGTCCCCAAAAGTGCTAGGCTTTGTGTAGTTGAATATTTTCTGAATCTGCTGGTATGAAGGTGCTTGTATTCACTTTGACAGAACTCGTCTGAATATCGGGTGCCCGGGTCTCTACTATATAGGTCTAATGTCCACTACTCCTCTTTTATCGACAAGATAGTGTTGACCCCGTTTACTATCGTATATGAGAGTGCAACGTCCAAGAATGCCATCAACCCACGGTCTTATGATCGGATTCCGATATCTCTTGTCGTTTCGTTATCGACATGGAAGGGCGCAGTTTCTGCTGTTATAATATTTAAATAACGTAGCTATTATATTATTGTCTTGTTAACTTGGTCAATATTTGTTTAATAGTCATATAATCGTGCCTTATACGAGCGTTTCTATTAACGACTATGATTTAGAGTTTTCTATCCGTATATACTTCGCAATGAAATTTCCCATGCCCTATTCTCAGAACTACTTTTAACTATTTTTTTGTTGACCTAGCATAGCTAATGTAGGTACTCATACTTAGATAATCCGTATACGAAATTCTTATGCCTATCTCAAGTATATTGTATACATGTATATTGGCGGGATGTCAGTACAAATCACTTTCTACGCTTGCAATACAAGATCTTGAATATTCTATTGTGTTATTTATATATACCTAGGTATTTTTAGCTTTAGATAGGTAAGATATGTTCGCGAGTAAAAAAGCTAATCTATTGGGTTATTTCTTTTAAAAATTTAATTATCGACAAATGTTTTGTAATTTAATTGTTTTGTACTTGTAACTAACTGGAATTCATGAATGTCGGAGTGAGGCCATTATTATATATTTATTTACTATACACGGTCTGTCATCGTTTTCCAACTAATTCATTTGTTTTCTATTCTTTTTACACACTCTCTCTCTCTCCGTTGTCTATCTAACTATAGGTACTACCTCTCTGACTGTATAATGTATATAAGTGCGTTTTTATACATATATATGTATATGTGTGTGTGTGTGTGTGTGTGCGTGTTGGAAAGAAATTCATTATTCAGAATATTAAGCGCGTAGAACAGCCAACAGACAAATCGCACTTTTCTGTCAGACGGGAGGACGGCTGGCTGGCGTTCCGCTGGTCCATTCAAGGGATCATCACGCGCGCGTTTGTCCCTCGCGTTCAGTCGTTCCCCGCTTCGGCTGGCTGTCACCGACGCGATCCCGTTATAATATATTCTTTAGATGGCTGTGATGGCGACGAATATACATGTTAATGAAAGATTCGCACAAAAGGGACTGGCTTGCGATTAAAAAAGAACGTTTTTGCCGGGTTAAAAATACTTGGTTGTCAAGTTTTAATCATGTTTCTGTTATTATTATTTTTTTCGCATTCTTTCATTTATATATTTTCCGTATCGTTATAATGTTGTCCAATGTACATAATATTTATATATATACATACACAATATATACACTAAGTCTGAAGTCGGCGGCCGTGTCTACGACTTCGTTCTCAATGGCTGTCAACCGCGCGCTTGGCCGTGTAACTATATACGAGTCTACACGTATATACAGGAATTTTGTCGTACACGCAGAGTTCAATTTGTCGCGTTGCCACCGTACCGTCGCATACAGCCTGCCCCGTGGTGGGGGTGTGTGAGGGCATGTTAGCTCCGGGAAGGGATTGGGAGATGGTGATCGGTGTACACATGTGTGTGTGTGTGTGTGTGTGTGTGTGTGTGTGTGTGTGTGTGTGTGTGTAGCGTGTGTTTGGCGCGTGGGGAGGGGGTGCGCCCATCTGTCTGCAGAATCAATATAAT